TTCAAGTCAACAAATTCAATATATAATACCAGGTCATCTTTAAGACCTGGTTGCAGAATGCACAAAGATGTTCATAAAGGAATTTGATAGTATAGTGTTAACGAAAATTGAGTAGTATTCTGGAGGCCCAGGTTAATGCTCTGGCAACAGGCGTTCAAATCCCACAATGGCAGCCAGTGGGCTGTAATCAAAACTTATACATGATTTACAATCTCCAAAAGGTACTTATACGTGAACTCCAAAAGTTAACAAGGAGTATACACAATCTGAAAACCAAAGGATATTTGAAGACCATGTTGTGTGCAACTTCCAGTGACTGCCAATACTCATCAGGAACGAAACTCGTTTGGACCAGAAAGCAGTTCACTATCCTTAAAACGACACTGAACATAATTAAATAGGAGTCCGGACCAAATAATCCTAAACTTAAAAAAACAAAAACAATAATTACAAAACCATTGAAGCAGGAGCAGCAAAATATTTTGGTGGCTCGGAATATCACGAGCACTTTTTTGAAGAAATGTCAGATTAAATACACTTTATTGAATAAATGTTACAAATTAAGAAAAAGAATCTTACATTATGCTTGTATAGAAATAACAACAGAAAATTTCTGCACACAGGTGTTTAGCAAAAGATGCATTTTCTCATGTGCGTCAGAAGATAGGACAATGACCTGGAGCTCCGTTTCCGAGTGAACATGCACAGATGTATCACCGGTATATGGAAGCTCTATTAGAGGTTGGCACAGTGTAGTTTTGAATTGAAGGCAGCGCAGGTTGAACAGTTTCCTCATTTGTTCTGTAGATTGCCCACAGATATGGAAACAATTTGCTGGAAGAGATCAATGGTGAAATCTTGGAAAAAATGGACTCAGTTTACAAATCTTCAGAAACTCCCCTCAATGAAAGAGGACAAATGGCGAAATTCATTATCTCTTCCCGTGTGCCAGCTCAGCCTTTGGCCAACTGAAGAGAGCATTTGAGGACCAAGATCTCAAAATCAAGACTAATGTCATTGTTTAATGGACAGCTGTGGTCCTATATCCTTCAGATACCTTCACCTCAAAACAGCAGAGAAGTGCCACCAATAACACCTATGCAAGATTCCTAAATGTAATGCCAGGAAAAGCTTCACAACGGTCATCCTCTTCCAAGCAGTGTTGGTAATTACTTAGAACCAGCTCGGTAGGTGAGACATCGAGTTCTATGCCTGACAACAGACTGAAGAAGCAACTACTCTATTTAGAAATTGATAGCAGCGTCTCCCCAGAGGACAGCAGAAACATTTTAGGAAGTCCTCAAAGCATCACTGATCAGGCTATGCTTCCTGCCAACTTATCAGGAGTCCCTGGCTGATGACCAACCAAACAGAGGTGGGCAGTGAACACATTAAGAGATTTCATCAGGATTGTGTAGATATGAAATTGAAGTATCACAGGGAACACAGAAACCCACCAAACCCTTCAAGCAGCACCTGCAGCAGAGCCTCCAGATCACACAATTTTGGCCACCTCAGAGTCTGTTGGACCACTATGGAAGCAAGTCAAACCCAACCCTGAGGGACCAAGACAGACACTTTCCAAATTAACTTTTCTGTTGAGTATAGAAGCTTTTTTTTGGAACAGTAGACTGAGGGAAGAATTAATAGAAGTGGTTAAAATTGAGGGGCCGAGATAGACTGAATAGGAAGGATCTCTTTCCATTAGCATAGTGGTCAATAATCAGGAGCCACGAATTTGAAATAATTGGTGGAAGAATTAACCAGAAGCTGGTCGGACATCTGTACTTTTTGGCCTTTGAAGAGAGAGGCAGAAGCTGAAACCGTAAAATGAGGTGCCAGCAACAAAAGAGCAATGCTATCACTATACAAAAAATTTCCTTGCACACAGTAACAAAGTGAGCAAAGAGGGCACACAGTAAAGCTCAAACCTCCGCCACATTTTGTTAACTTAATTACAATTACCTAGGTCTTCCGTGAGGACATGCCCGCTTGATTTATTCTGCTGCGTTGCTTACTCCTGCTCCCAACAGCTTCCACCTCACTAATGAGGATTCAGGCCAATTACATTCAATAACCTAGTCTGAAAACTCCACTCACATTTTGACCGACAAATTTTAATCACAGCAGCAAAAACTATCCATGACATCCTAAAAGTAAATTTACCTACCACCCAGTGTTAACAGACCCTTTAAAAAATTCTAGGAGCCAGAAAATCTCCACCAAGACGAATCAGTTCTTCCTTGGGCCATACCCTACCAAGTTTCATTGAACCCTTTCAATTAGGTTAAGATATAATTGACAGGAGCATATAAAAGGCAAATGCTACGGATGGTAGAAATCTGAAATTAAAACAGAAACAAAATATTAAGCAGACTTGGCAGGAGAGAAACAAAGTTAATATTTCAGTCATCTTTTGTTTTAAATCAGAACAGGAAAAAAGTTTGAGATGTGACAAATTTGATCTGATTTATTATCGTTTTGTGGAAACAAGTTTTGTTTTGTGCACAGTACAGGCAGATCATACCATACAAAGTGCATAAGGGTAATAGAACTGAGATTTTAAGCAAATACAGAAACAGCAAAAGAAGGGAACAACAAAAGAGGAATTTAATACATAGGGGAGATTAAACAATACAAAGAACGATGGAGCAAGGGAAGTGGAGGTGGTGAAGGTACAAGCAATAAATGATTGAACCAGAGAAGTTGTAAACGGGAAAGCAGATTTGGTGCTGCAATGCACAATGGGCAGTATCGTGAGCAATGAAATGAGTATACTAAATTGAAGTCAGTACAAGTAAACAACTACTTCACCCTAGAAGGTCTTTTGCAGGCCTTGGACATCGAGAAGGATACCAGTTGAAAAGGCAAGTGTTGAATCTTTTGGATTGACTGAGAATGTTTCATGGGAAGGAGAGTAGGTACTGTGGGAAATTCAGTGCAGCAGAGAGTTGAAATGGAAAAAAGGGGAACATGATCAGTGGTGACATCACACTTGGGGTGGCAGAAAAAAGAAAGGGTGATCAACTGAATGTTGATGTTAGCTGGACAATGGGAAGGATCACAGTGAGAAATGGAATGGACGTGATCGATACCTCTGTCAACTAAGGAAGTAGTACATTGTTAAAACAGAGGCAATAGAGGTGTGAGAAGCTGGGAGAATAAAATAGAACTCCTGCAGGACATACAGCAGGAAGTAGTCAGAGTTTTTACAGCACAGAAAAAGATCCATCGCCTCCACACCTGTCATCAAGCATCAATCCAATCTCATCAGTTCTTCCTTGTGCCATACCCTACCAAATTGTATGCAATGGTGTTGAATGCTCATCTAAATACTATTTAAACATCGAAGATTCCTGCCTCTATCACTATTTTAGTGAGTTCCAGATATCCACCACCTTATGGTGATTATTTCTTCCCCTTAAATTCCATCTAAACCTCCTATTCCTTACCTTAAAGCTTAAGGACATGTACCAACAGATTCAAGAACAGCTTCTTCCCTGCTGTTGAGAATCCTGAATGGACCTCTTAAATTTTAAATTTAATGTTGATCTCCCTCTTTGTGCACCTTTTCTGCAGCTGTACCATTGTCCACTCAGTTCTATTACCCTAATTCACTTTGTAGGATATGATCTGCCTGTACTGTAGACAAAGCAAAACACAACAATCAGGTCTCCTCTCAAGGTAGTCATGGGTATTAAACAAAATTTTAGTGTCAATATAGTGCCCTGGTAAGAGTTGAAAACAGTCATCAATTTTGGAGAAATAGTTGGACTGATAAATGCTTTGCTACAGGAACTGGTTGAGCACATTTCAAGTGGAAATCAGATAAATGTTTGAGGCACTGAAAGATGTAATGAAGAGAGAACAAAGAGGAACGCATCTGTTGACAGAAAGAAAGTAATTTTAGTTCAGTAACCTTTCATCAAGTCAGACGAGGTTAATTTGGATTGCTCCAGTAAACAGCTGGCATAAGTGAAAAGGGCAAATGGTCTTCAACCCTGTAAACTTTTCATTGATTTCTGGGATCCTGCGATCCATTATTTTACTCCAGCCTTCTAATCAGAGATGACAAATAGTATTGGTTGACTACAGAACTATTAGTAAAGAATATTTGCCTTTCAGAGCGCACTAAATGCTTTCAATTCAGATTAAAACACAGTCATTTCTCGAACCGCTCTACACTCACAACCATACGTAATGCTGCTCGCAAGCAGTGTAGATTCTTACAAATGATATTGTCCAAAATATCGAAAGCTGGTAAAAGTACTCCCAGGACAGGTATCTTTGTAGGGTTTGTTTTCACAAGCAAAATAATGCGAGACGAATTGCAGTAGCACGTTCGGAGAGTAGTGGCGAACCGAGGTCGGATTAAAGTAACTCCACTGGCAGTCAGTCTTGTCTTGTACTGTACTGTACTGTACCTGCGCCTTGTTCCGTGCTGCAGCGCCCTTTACTATACAGTGTCGACTTTCTCTTCCTAAGTCTGATGGTTTCTGAAGCAGCAGCGGGTCTGCCCCAAAACAGCTTTCTGCGGAAAGCATCCATTCTGTCTCGCTGGAAAGATGTCTTCAGAGCTCCATTCGGCGGCTCCGCTTCCGGCCGCGTGACGTCACCCCGCGAGCTCCATTCAATGGATCAGCGCGCGGGACCGGCCAATCGACTCAGCTAGGCCCGGGGGAGGTGGGAGTACACCAAGGGGAGGGTGACTGTGCTCCTATCCTAATTCTCTCACTTGTTTCCCCCCATCCCCATTACGATCCCAAGGCTTCGATACCAGCTCGCTAACTAAAAGTGAAAGAGGGAAGTGGGGGTGGGTCCATTTTAAAAAATAAACAAGCCGCCTCTCAACTGACGTGCACGCCAACATGGAAGAACTACGAAAACCATGAAGCCTTGCGAACTGTGCGCATGCGCACACGACCGGGGGGGTCGGGCCGCATGCAATTGATTGACACGTTCGCCCCCCACAAAACAGCTGGGTGATGACCAGAGCCAATGAGGATAGCGGCTGGGGGAGGGGATTGATACAGCGAGAGTGTAGTAAAGCAGGCTGTATCCTAACCCAGCCCGGGAGTTAATGATCGGAGGGTAAGTCTTATGCATTTCTTTCCCAACCCCATCCCTGCAGTTTTCCTGGAAGAGGAGACAACAAATGTAACTGCAAAGTTCTTTTCATTCCTTATCGTAAAGAACGTGTTTTGGGAATACAAACACAGTTTCAAAATGTGACTTCTCGTCTCAACGAAAAGCGACGTCTCAGTGTTTAATCTGAATTTTAATCTGATTTAAATGCTATACCTGAGACCTTGGAGTTATATCTGATTGTTTAAAACAGAAGAGTATGGAAATATGTTATTTGATCGTTGTAATTTTGTTAAACTCCGCAGTTTTGGTTAATGACGCCTGCGACAGTCTCAAAAAATGGATTATCCTCACAGAGTTCCCATTGGCTATCGAACTTTTACCTCCCACCACCCCACCCCCGCCCCTAACGAGCGCACATCTACAAACATTCTCAACCCAAGGTCATTTTTCAAATCTATTTAATGTTGATAGTTCACCAGAGTTTAAAACTGAGCTGATCAACTTTGAGAGATAGTAGGAACTGCCGATGCTGGAGAATCTGAGATAACACGGTGTAGAGCTGGATGAACACAGCAGGCCAAGCAGCATCAGAGGAGCAGGGAGGCTGACGTTTCGGGTCGAGACCCTTCTTCAGAAATTTCTGAAGGGTCTCGACCCGAAACGTCAGCTTTCCTGCTCCTATTACGATCAACTTTGATCTGCCTTTTAAAGGCAAGCTGAAAATTCTGCAAATGCACGGTAAGCCTAGCAGAATCTACTAAAAATTTATTGTCTAGCTATCTTTTTTTATATCTCCGAGCTGAAAGATAAGAAACTTGGATTGAACATAGGAGAGGAGATAGAGAAACTAAAAGCAAGAAATAAGACTGGAGTTCTGTCACGCAGAAGAAAATCATCTATTTAATAGTGAGCAAGCAGCGCTCTGTTTTCGGTTTTAAAACAGAAAATGCTAGTAACGGTTAGCATGGCCAGGTGGTATCTGTGAAGACAGTTAGAGTTAAACTTGCAAGTCAATGACTTCCCGGCGGAACTCAATGAGCGAAACGTGGCGCGCTGTATAGATGAGTTGGAATCTATGGTGGAGGAACTCAAGACGTTACTACGTAAATCTGTGCTCCGAACCAACAGAGGTTGAGCGCCTCAGTAATCCCAAAGAAGTAGGGACAGAGGGATTTGGTGTCGTGAAGTTGAAGCTTGCTGATGGATAACATGTTGGAAGTTTAGATCAGAATGAATAAGGACAGCAAGGTTGCGAAGATGGATTTGCATCTAGGGTGCACCACTTCTGGCAGGATCAATCAATTTAATGGATCTTAATAATGCTGCCAAGTGTTAACAAATACTGAGAAAGAAATAGTAACCACAATGGAAATGTCTACAGAGCAGCACGGAAAGCTATCATTGAATATCGAATGTATATTTTGCAACAGATAGAACCATGTTTTTTAATTCACTGATGGGTTGTGGGCTGTGTTGTTTTGGCCAAGCATTTTAATGTCCATCCCTGGTTGCCCTTGAGAAGATGGTGGTGAGCTGCTGCCTGGAACCATGGCAGCCCATCTGGTGGAGCTACACCCATAATGCTGTTAAGAAGGAATTCCAGGATTTTGACCCAGTGACACTGAAGGAATGATGATATATTTCCAAGTCAGGATGGTGAATAGTTTGGACAAGATCTTGCAGCTGATGGTTGCACATGAATCTGCTGCCCTTTTCCTTGTAGCAGTCTTGGGGTTGGAAGGTACTGAATAAGAAACCTTGGTGAATATTTGCAGTGCATCTTGTAGATAGTACACATTGTTGTTACTGAGGTTCTGTGGTGGAAGGAGTAGATGTTTGTAGATGTGGTGCCAGGCAAGTGGGTTGCTTTGTCCTGGATAGTATCAAGCTTCTTGTGTGTTGTTGGAGCTGCACCCATCCAGGCAAGTCGGGCATAATCCATTACACTTCTGACTTATGCCTTGTAGGTGGTGGATAGGATTTAGACTCCATTCATACCTCCTTCTCACCTCATAGATCTATTCCAGCTCTCTCATTAGTTTATTCACTTTTCAGTCAAATATATTTAAATATTCAGCTCGTAGTAGCAAGCTACACAATTTTCACCAGTCTGGATGGTGTTTCTTCCGAATTCCCAAATTGATACCTTTCAGTTTTACCATTCTCCATAAGAGAAATCACTTTCTCTGTGTCTACCTGATTCAAAATCTTTAATAATTTAAAAGATATTTGGGTTTTTTTCTGGAATTTATGCTGGAGGTCACATATATTTAGCAAAAGACATAATACTCAGTATAAAAATATTCAAGAACTTTAGACATAATATATGTTTGCAAATCACAAGTTGGGTCAGAGATGATCATTTTTGAGCTTAGTTTAACTTTCTTTCTATATTTCACTTCCCCCTCATGTCTACTCTAACTTGGTGCAGGATTTCTGCCTTCCTTGGTTATGATGTCATCTGTGCCAATTACCATGTCTACTGAAGGAGAACCTACAACATTAGCTAAGCTTCTGCACCTTATGTTCCTCTCCACCTTCTGGGGAATGCAGATATGGGTCACATTTATATCACGTAAGTGTCTCCTTTCGTTACTTTTTAAAATTCTTACTTGGGACAAGTGCAGCATTGGCTTGGACAGCCTTTATTGCCCATCCTAATTGCCCAGAGGGCAGTTAAGAATCAGCCACATTGCCATGGATCTGAATTTGCATGTCGGCCAGGCCAGTTAAGGATGGCAGATTTCCTTCCCTAAAGGGCATGAGTTAACTGGAAGAGTTTTTACATTAATCAACAGTGGTTGATTAATGGTCACCATTAGGCTAGCTTTTTATTCTAGATTTTATTATTATTGAATTCAGATTTCACCATCTGCCATAGTGGAATTCAAACCCTTGACCCAGAATATTGACTTGGAATTATGGATTACTATTCCAGTGACATTACCATAATACCATTGCCTCCCCTGTAATTGACTCTTATCTTGAACTATTGCTATTGGTAGTTAAATTATAGGGAGCAGAAACAAGTATTAATGGGTTCAAACATGTCACAATGAACATGCTCCCATAGCATACATTTGTTCCAGGCAATAGAACATAATTAGAAAGCTGTTGAATAGCTTCCAATATTTTCTGACATCTCCTATCTAACAAAAGCATGACAATTCATTTTTCAAAGGTGTTCACGCAATTCTGTGTATCAATAAAGATGTGTGATCAAAGCCACTGCATCAAATTGACTTGAAAAATTAAATTCTTCTTTATTACAGATTCAAAGATTTCAGGATTTGTTCAAGTTGTGGATCTCATTCTGTAATCAAATTTGTTTTGATCATGAAATCCAGTAGCCATACCAGGGATGTACAAGAAAAAGTGGTTTGCAAGTGCTTTGAGATGTGTACTTCTCATTATTTGTCCTAAAACTGTACCCAGTATTTCATTAATTATACTGTGTGGGAAAGAAATGTTAAAGTATAAAGAAATGCAACTTCTGTGATGGAAGAAATTATAACTTTTGGTATTCTTTCCAATGCCTTTGAGATATAATGTGATTCAGCATTGGAATGCAAAAAATAATAATTTACATATGTAACCTCACGATCACAGCTCACAAAAGCACCCCACCTCTTCAGATTCAGCTTGTCAAATTACTGTAGCCCATCTAACTACCCACAATCACTACTTATCCCAGAACAGATGCTCCACTTAAATAAGCTGCCATTCTTCATCTGTTCAAAGTCATGAATAATATTCTCTGTAATTGTTGAACGTTATTGCTTTTTTTTCCTGCTCAACATCTCTTTATGCTTAGACACAATTGACTAGAACATTGGAGGTTGACCAACACAGTGGAACTTGCCTTGTATGGTTCTGCTCTGTGTTCCTCCTTTTCTGTATCTCAAAGTCCTTTTGTTCACTATTAGTGGTAAGCACCCATGTTCTTGAATTCCCTCCCTATATCTCCCTGCCTCTTTACCTCTGTATATTATTCATTTATTGACTCTGTGCAGTCCTTTCAGATCTACTTTCTTCTTACCAGATTTTCCTATCTTGAGCAGTATACAGCAGGTCAGTCTCTATCTTCTTTTCCTGTGCCCATAGCCAATTTAGAATGGGAAGAGAATTTCCAGTCAAAATTTTTCAGGCCAGCCTTTTGCACTGTAGGTGCAGGCAAACTTGAATATTGATCTAATTACTCCAACATTTTCCAATACTGTATAGTAAAATTGAGGTGATTATAGAAAAAGCTGAGTCACGAGTCACCCATTGGAATGGGAAATGAGGGACTGCAGAAAAAGATTCTAGAATCTATCTGATGTATTGAAACTCAAAAAGTAATTGTTTTGTAGTGATTCTGTTACATAGATTGTCCTTTATCCTTTCCATATGTTATGCAGATGTATGTATTCATACGTATCTAGTACACACAAATTCAGACATACAAATTAGGACTATTTGACCTGTTCTGTCATTTGGTAAAATCATGGCTGATTTGATTGTGTCCTTTACCTTCCTATCCATCCCATTAAACTTCCTTGCCAAGAATGTTTTTGTTTCCACTTACGTTTCCATTGCAGGCTTCCCCAGGCACTGCATGTGAAAACTGCTGTGCTTAAGACTCAAGTCTGATAAATATGGTAGTATTAACATAGATATTTACATTAATAAATAATTATCCCTCACCCAGGTTAATATTGGCATCAGAAAACCTGCAGTCCTGCAGAATATTTTTGTAATTAAGTTATTGCTTCTGCAAAACTACCTGATTAGCCATCCATAATTACGATTTACAGCTTTGCAAAATATAATTTGAGTAAGGTAAGGGATTTCATACAGAACTGCAAACACATATGATAAATACAGTAGTGAGCAATAACCAATGTTAATGGCCAAAGACTGATTTTTTATGATAGTTTTTTTTTTATTTATTCAAGTTTCCTCTGTGCAGTACAACCTATGTTTGATTTTGTATTGCTCTCCTCATCAATAATTTATTCAGAAGTTCTTAATCCTGTTTTGTTTGTTCCGTAGGTCTGATCATGGGCAGTAATCTCACGAGACATACGTTTGGCTTCATTCAGAGCAGACTTTTTCCATACTACTTTCACCTTGGATCTGCCTGTGCCTTCTTTAATTTAACTATTTTTGCCATGTATCATCCCAGTGAGTTGTTAACTGAAGAAGAGACATTTCAGGTATCATTCACAGTGCTTGCAATTGGACAGTAGAATCATGTTGAAGTTAATGGTCCATCACTCTGGGTGGGATGTAGCCCTATCAAAGCTACTGTTTTCTGTTTTTCCAGATCTGTATGGATTATGGTAAAGCTCTTGTTAACTTTGTCACAGGCTCTGCTGCTTTGAGTAACAATGCAACGTGCTACATTTTGTTTTGTTGTCTTTGTGGGCACCCTCCTGCAGTTGTATAGCTGGGGTGAGCTCGGTATGGCTCATTGTTTTATGATGCGGATGTCACGCATTTGGTGCTATCTGGTACCTTTGTCATCATATAAAGAAACTCGGGAATCATTGATAACTGCTTGAACTCTCAAGGGGATGTTGAATAGTAGTAGAATACACTTCCAGAAATCAAGGAATATCCTCTGAATTAGAATCCACCATGGTATTGCTAGGTATAGTGTGTTAGTCCATCAAAGCACTGTGTCACATTTTACTGCTACAGCACCTCAGGAAGGCTAGGAGAGGAGGCTCTAACATAGGTGATTGTCAGGCTACAAAATGAGTTATAGCATCTATTTTGTGCTGAAAGCAGTAACCTAAATTTAAAAATATAGAGAAAGCAAGAACTGCAGATGCTGGAGTCAGAGGTAACACAGTATGGAGCTGGAAGAACACAGCAAGCCAGGCAGCATCAGAGGAACTGGAAATTTGACGTTTTGGGTCGGGACCCTTCTTCAGAAATTGTAGTGGGGTGGGGGAACGGAGCTCAGAAATAAATAGAGAGGAGGAGTGGGGCTGGGGAAGGTAGGTGGGATGATGATAGGTGAGTGCAGGTAGACAGCGGTGGGGATTGGCTCCTCCCATGCCACTGACCAATCCCCACCACTCCCTACATGCACTCACCTATCGTCATCCCACCTACCTCCCCAGCCCTACCCCACCTCTCTATTTATTTCTAAGCTCCCTGCTCCCCCCTCCCATTTCTGAAGAAGGGTCCCGACTCAAAATGTCAACTTTCCTGCTACTGTGATGCTGCCTGGCTTGCTGTGTTCTTCCAGCTCTTTACTGTGTTAAAGAATATAGAGTTGGTTTCTTATCTGGTCCCTGATACCAATGCTTATATCATGAATTCAAACACTTACAAGCATGCTCACGAGCATTCTTTTAGACTGTTTTAAATTTATATTAAAATGTCAAGAAGATGGTATAACTTGTTCAATTTGCTGTTTTCATTGTCTTCCTGGAGTTCTAAATGAAATGCATTTTGAGAGCCTTCTGCTAATTCTGGATTATATTTAGCCCACAGTAGAAATCTGCCTTAAATTTGATCAACAAATTGGCAGCTTCGAAGACATTGTATTACATCTGAATGATCTATATCATGCAGTCAGTGAATGGTAATTCAAAATGATTACATGCAATTTCTTTTACAGATTATTGTTCTTTTCATCTGTGTGACTGTTGCTGGGCTCAATGCACAATGGTTTGGTAAGATAACTTCTGAAATCATGGCTGACATGCATCTGATTGAACAGAGCTGTGGGCTGGGGAAGGATATTGGATTGTCAACCAACAGAGAGGCCTATATCAAGCTGAAGGAGAGTAACCCCAAATATAAGAAATTTTCACATCAACTGACCCTGTATCACAATACTTCTTCTTTATGTAACCTGTGTTGCATCATCTGTAATGGGATAAGTTTGTACTACATGGCAGCCAATTTATCCACATTATGAAAGTGTTTTAAGTAAGACATTTAAAGACTCAGTGTCGAATGGTGAAAAGTTCATTTACGAATAATGGAAGCGTGAAAAGTAAGCTATTTTGCTGTGATGTCTGATGGTGGATGCTAATCCAACACGATCTCGCCAATAATTATGCATTTTTTTTAAACGTGCTTGTGCTACTATTTGTAATATTTTAAAACAAAAATCAGTGGGAAGCAGAAAATTTTAAATTAGAAGAAAACACTGCTGAAATTCATCAGCTGAAACCAGTTTAAGGTGATAAATCTGAAACAAAAACAGAACAGCTGGAGAACCTCAGCAGGTCCACCAGCATCTATGGAGAGAAAGCAGAATCAATGTTTAAGGGTCACTGGACCCAAAATGTTGACTCTAATTTCTCTCCATAGATGCTGCCGGACATGCTAAATTTCTTCTGCTGTTTCTAGTTTTGTTTCAGATTTCCAGCATCCACAGTTCTTTTCTTTATAGGGTACGAAATGTTTAGTTCAGTTATAGCTTGACTTAGTTTACGACGTGTAATGATGCATATATGTAACTGTCATACTTTTCCACACCCACAAATTGATGGGATTGAATAAGTTTAGGAGCTCAGCATGGGATTTCGGAGTACAACCAAGGGGAATTTTTCAGTGTACGTTATAATCTTGTAAATGAATTTTTATATGCTCTTTATCAATGAGAATCCTTGCTATTGATGGACTCAATTAGTTAGCCTGACACTGATGTAAGTGGAATTAGAACAGTTTATATATAACCTTCCTAGGAAGTTAGAAAACTGGAAGAGATTTATGGTCCATGCGCCTAAACACAAAATTCAAAACAGTGCCATAGCCTACTCCACCCCTTAATTCTTTATCTACCAAATTTTAACCGAGATCATACCAATTTGATGACAATACATAACTCTTTAGGCAGTCAGTGTGTGTATTTATTATGTAATTTTGTATAAGATGTAGATTGAATGTATTGTATCACAAACACTAATAAATGCATTTCTAATGTTGATAAAGCTGTCAGTAATGTAAGAATATTATGTTAGCCTTTCCATTATTGCACTTTCCCAGTTTGTTTGTTTTTTTTTTGATGGCTCAAGGTTCTGATACTAATTTTGTTCTTTGTGATGAGGGTATCACTGGCAAGGCCAGGATTTGCCGCCCATTCCTCATCGTCCTTGAGATGAATAACTTGCTCAGGGAAGGCAATGCCCACATTTCTTGCCCAGAGGGCAATTAAGAATCAACCACAGTACGGTGGGTCAGACAAGGTAAGAATGGCTAATTTCCTTAGAGTTAACACTGGAGTATAGATCATGTCAATGGACTAGCCAACCTTCTTGCGACATGGCTTCGAATTCCACCATGGCAGAGAGTAAAATTTAATTTCAGTTTTTAAAAGAAATATGGATTAGAGAACTGGACTAATGGTGACATGTAACAGCTATCGATTATTGTAAAAACCCATCTGGTTCACTTATGTCTTTTTTTAGGGAAGGAAATCTGCCATTCTTACCTGGTATGAAGTTAGGTGAGCTTCAGTGGTGGAGAAACCTCCAGACAGAATTGATTTGTGATAGAATTAGTAATTTTAAAAAATGGATTGATTAGGAAATGTCAGCATGGATTTCTAAAGTGGAAATCATGTTTAACTAATCTGCTGGAGTTTTCTCAAGGTGACAGCAAGGTTCCATGAGAGTAATGCTGTTAATGTGGTGTACATGGATCACCGGAAGGTATATAATACAGTGCCACACAACAGACTTGTTGGAAAGCTATGTTATTATAAGAGACAGTAGCAATGTGGATACAAAATTAGCTGCAATAGGAAACACAGAGTAACAGTAAATGGATAAATTTCGATCTGAGGGAAAGTTTAACATGGATCTCTTCAGATTATGGACCTTTATTGTACCCTTCAATCTGTCACATTTTGATTTTGAAAAGCAGTTTTGCCACCACTCTCTTTGCTTCTGGAATTTCACTACTCTCCCTTCTTCTGACAACCTGAGTTCCCTCCAGGTCTGCCACTGAGACCCCTGCACTCTGTGCTCTTTATAATCTTGCTGCCACTGCTGTCAAGTTCCACACAGGTGCACCACCATTCTGTCTGCTTCTGCGACCTCTTCGCTCTCGCTGCAGTTAATGAACTGGAGTGAAAACGATAGTTTGGAATCTTCAGCTTGAGAATAAAATGTAGAAGGCAATCCTGAGCAGCACCAAGGGAGGGCAGTATTGTCTGGGGAGCACTCATTCAGGGATAATGATGAGATGTGATCAAATCATTTGTTCTCCCATTTCCATTTACGGTATCAATATCCATGTTTGGCTAAAGAATCTATTTACTGCTGTTGATCATACACCAATATTCATCTCGAAAACCTAATTTACTAGAATAAAATAAGTTTTGAAGAGTCATATAGAATTAGAAATGGTAACTGCTTCTTTCTCAATAGTTGCTGTCAAATCTTCAGTACTTTATTATTTCAAATGGCTTGGAGCTTCTTTCCTGATAGAAAGTCTTTAGAGAACGATGAACCTCTTACTAGAATTATGATTCTCGGATTTCCAGCTTTCACAAAATATCTGGATACAAAAAAATTCAATGAAGCATGAATTAATATCAAACAACATCCAATTTTAAGGAATAAAAGGAACAACAATCCAAATACTGTATAGAAAGTCTTATATTTGGAAACATTATTTACAACAGACATGTCACAGCAAGCCAAGCCAAAACAAAACTACTTGTGTCACTGAGGGCTGCATCTTGCCAGAAATCAGCTGTCATTTTTGTCGGGTTTCCAGGCAGGTTTCTGCAAAACCTAGTGAGTTTTCTTACACAATCATCCCAAACTTGCCTCATTACCAGGTATCACATCCTTATATTGTCCTGCTTATCTGGTGCTAGCCCAATTCTCCTACTCACCATAGGCGGATGTATTCACCACTGCCAGGATATGCCCTGATTCCTGGTACCAGGATCATACTTAAAAGGCAGTTGTGCACAGAACTGCCCTATTCGCTTCATATTAGCCCTAGACATGGCAGATGAGGAGAAATGGGCACCTTGATGTGTGAACAGGGTCCTAGCAGTCCTAGTGAATGGGGTAGTACAGAGGGGTGTCTGATGACCGATAGAGTACGCCACAGCACCACACCCTAGCAGCCTGATCGGAGATTGCCAGCTGATTCAATGTGGTCACAACTGTCCACAGGACAGTGTGGGAAAGGAGGTCAAAAGTCTTCTCTATACCATAAAGGTAGGTGCTGCCAACTTCTCCCTGCTAAATCACATTCCACAGGCCATAGGGTGCTGGGGCAGAAGTAACCAGTCAAACAATTCTGCTTTGCCAGTCAATGAGATCATGGCTGATCTGCTAATCCTCATTTCCACTTTCCCGCCTTTTCCACATAACCCCCGATTCCCTTACTGCCAACAAATCTGTCTATCTCAGCCTTGATAGAATTCTTTGCCACAGATGGCTATCTCTGTCACTGCACCCACCTAGGCTCATGCTCACTAGTGTATGTAACATCTTCTCTCACTTGCTCACAACTACCCAATTCCTCCCATACAGATAAACCTGTGTGCCCTCTCCATTGCCTGCTCATTCTTTCAGGACACCTCAGAACCTTTCCCTTACCTGCACCAGCACTAAAGGCTGTGCCATCCACTTTTGTCCCACTCAATCCCTCCCTTTCTCTCCTTACAGAAGAACCAGGATGAGTGGTCGGGCATCTAACAATTAGTTCCACCCCCTCCCTTCTACGAAAGGAAGATTTTAGCCTTCGCTCGCAAGGACTGGGACCAGTCCTGTGGAGACACAAATGTCCATGTCCTGGCCCACCAAGTAAGAATTACTGTCCAATGCTGCTCTAACTTTCCCATTATCCATGATGTGAATGAGTCCTTGACAAGGAGGAACTTGTTCACAAAGGATTCTTTCTTTTGTCTCCTGTAGGTACCAGTGGCATTAGCATGTTCTCCGCTGTCAAGAGGATGGTATTGGCAAGATATGCCCTCTTCCACTTCTGAGGAAGACAGCACAGATCCCTACGAGAATATCCAGCAAAGCTGACCCTGCACCCAAAACCAGGTCCAATTCTGACCCCTCAGTGGGTGCATTTGAGAGATTAAGGCTGGGAACACTGGCTGTTGAGCATATCATTGCCACGTCCCTGCAGATGGCAAAGAAAGGTCCCAGGTTGCTGGCACTCGAGAGACCAGGAACCTGCAAAGCCCCAAGCAGGAAAGGATCCTATGGTGTTGGCTACTAACAACTTCATTGAAATGCAAAGGCAAACACAGGAGCAGCAGGCAGGTTTGCCAGGCACACAGGGTAACCTAACACAGATTTTACAGGACTGCAGCAATGCAATTGCCACACTGCTGATTCCATGGGCAAGTTGGCAGCTGCCATGGAGAGCCAGATCTAGCAGTCTGAGTGTGCTGGATAGTCGTGCAGATCTGCCCTCCATTACTACAGCCATTAGTACACAGTAGCAAAGGCATGGTGACAAGGCAGCAAGGAGACTGAGTACACTGCAGGTGTTATTTTCAGAAAAGGAGACAGGGTGCAGCCAGTAGGCACCCAGCCAGAGGATGGCCCACACAGGAATCCTCTCAGTACTCCAGAGGGAGCTTGACCTTCAACTCCATACTGCCTGGCACCCTCAGAACTCTGGGAGTACAAGCTGAGGAGGGTGGCCTTACTTCTGTGCTGGGGGAGGGGGTGGTGGTGTGTGTGTGTGTGTGTGTGTGTGTGTGTGTGGTGGCAGTACTCAGCATGTCAGGGCTCTCCAGACACAAACACCTGGATGTCACCATTCCAAGTCACCACGGCCAATGGTGTTGGGCGGGCTTCCTCCACCCTAGCTGAGGAACCGAGGACCGCACTGAGCTGTTGTGGAAACAAGGAACATGACCTTCTGTGGGTGACACTTCACTGCAAATATATTATTACATTTGTGAATGCATGTTCGAATTTCTTTATCAGTTGTGTGTGCAAATCTCTGTCTGGTTGGAATTCTAGCACTGAAGATACAGAACCTAAGTAACCTTCGAGCTACACACGTTCAATGGTTCAAGGTGTGAAGTGAGCAGCTTCTGGAAACTGGGGTTAATGTTTCCATCCCATAAAACAAGGCTGGTGCATCACAACAATAACCTGATCAAGAGTGCTTGGAGAAGGATTTGGACTGCACACAGATTAATGCCTAAGGTTCACACAGCGCACAGTGCTCACAGAAGTGTATCATCTTTAGTAGATTGTGAAATGAAACACTTAACGTCACCCAGTTCTAGTGTGGTGACAGCCATGTTTAGCTCCACTTGCCACACTTTTTATTTACAGTCTCGTGGAAGGTGCTCTTCACACAATGAACATAGAACAATACAGCACGGGAACAGGCCCTTTGGCCCACCATGATACCATTCTAAACTGTGAGTCTCACGTTCAGCCTCCTAGCCTTGGTGAACCCTCAAATGTCCACATTCCTTTCTTGGTGGCTCTGCCTGTCAATCCTATGGGTTTTGAACATCCGTAAGTTCCCACCCAACCAAACTAGTCTATCTAAATTTTCATCTCTCCATTTTACATCCTCAGCTCCAGGTATATGTAACCACAACAGAAATAGGAGTGCACGCCACCCCCACCCCATGGAAGCCAGGCTGCTGCTTACTATCAGTTACCAACACCCTACCCCCAGCTCCTACATTACCTCCTTCCCTCTAATGTTCTGCCCGCTGCATCTGTCATGCTGCCTCCAATCACCAGTCAAACTAAGTTCGTTAGCTTCAATTTTGTAACACTGGCCCCAAGAATACCTCTTCACCCCCCAAATGGCTTTTAATATACAGACCTCCCAGGACTGACAGTGACCCACCCACTTGAGTGACTTAGATGGACAGCTCTGAACAATGAGTGACCAGACCCTTGACTGATATCTGGCCAGCTCCCTACTGTCTTCCTGTGACTCCCTGGACCAGATCCCCTGGCCATGACCACCCTATGCACTCTGTGCCCAAGTCCCTGAATTGATATCAGAGGCTGCTGTTGACTTAATGCGCCAGCAACCTGTTTCCTTCGACTTGACTGAGGACTACTCCTTTGACTTTGAGACATGGCCGTTTTTTGGAAGTACAAGCAATGCATTTCCTGCGTACTTGGCTGGCAAATTGTGTAGAAGCGAGATTGGTGTTGTCTAGAGGAGCAAGCATCAAGCTGGAGTGGCCAAGTAACTAATCTGACTTCCATGAGTTTTTATTCACTTGTGGGATGTGGGTGTCGCTGGCTGGCCAGCATTTATTGCCTATATGTTGGTGTGCAAGTCTACTTTGCATGTGCTAAGTTTTCAATCTTAAATGAATTGATGTGTAGGCCAGGCAGGGATTGGAGAAGAAAGAAATATAAAGAGATACTGTCCAAATTCACTTCATTTGAATGCTCAGACCAAAAGTTGTTTGAATCTCTTAGACAAATTGATTTTAAAGACCAATGCTGTAACTGGCTATCCTTCCCAGCCTGCAATGATTTTGTAATATTGATAGCTTTTATTGAATATTCAAAGGTGTTCCTGTGGCACAATGATGACATTGCTGTTTCCGAACCAGAAGTCCTGGATTTATGTCCTACTGCAGGTCTACAAAACTCAGGAAGATACAGTCATAGATTGGCCAAATAGGTTGAGTACCAACTTGCAAATCCTCCAACTTATGCAAATGGCATGCGGTAACAATAAATGAGGTTTCTGGTTAGTTCATGGTGCAATAAAAATGTTGGAAGCTCAAACATCACTCTTAATTGTTTCAGACTGCAACATTCAAAGTGAATGTTGCCACAGCAAAGCAGAATCTGAGTCAACTGTAACATTCATAAAAAAGTTATCACGTCATCTTTAGAATATCCAAACAAATGGCTTCAAGGTTGTACAAGCCATTTTGTATAAAAGTATGGTAGTTCTCCACCTACCTAAATTAAAGAGACAGCAGGAATTGAAATCAGCAACCACACAATTAACACTACTCACCTGTCATGACTCAGAATCTGCCGCAGAGTGCACATGGGATCTACCTGGAACAGATCCTCTCCTTGCTCACCTTCAAAATACAGCTGTATGCACAAGAGAACAAACTGATTAACAGATAATATCATTTTATCTAAATTTTAAATACTCCCCATTTGCTCTTGGTTACTACAGCAGAGAATAGTAAGATTCTACAACAGAAAAAACAAGCATTCCTTTCTCCATCTTATTATCATCTCTCCTCCAAAAACTGGCACTTCAAGTTAAACAGATTTTTGTATATTAATAAAGAGGTACAAGAATTAATATCACCATCAGAGTGGATTCTAACATCCTGAAATGCAGACTATCGTATGTTAGTTTAAATTGTTTGGTAAGTTGTGATCAACACCTGCCAACTGGAAATAAAAATTCATGGCTAAAAATTTTCCTGACTGTTTTAAATATATTATACAAATGCAATTGTAATCTGTGTTGTACCTAGCCTGCATCACATTTAAAGCTCTGTTCAAGCTGTGGGGTGACATATTTATGCAAACTGAGTAGTCACAACTCCAAAACTTAGTCTGCAATGTCCTCATGTGCTCTTTTACAGCACTACGTCAGATGCAATAAGAATGCTTTGCTTCAAAACCTCGCATTTCATCAAATTATACATGCATCAGTCTGGTCTCATCGCACCAACCAGACCAGAACAATGGTTGCATGCAGCAAACACTTCGAAGAGCAATGTTTCCTTGCACCAAAAATATCAATTATATCCTGTATCTAATGTCCCTTTAAGTTCCCTGATTCTCCACGCACAGCGATCAGCATTGACTTCTGAAGTCACTGCTATGCACAAGCCTCTGAGGCCCAGGCAGCCAGAAAGCAAATTAAAAGGAACACTGCCAGTATACCTTACAAACTCCGTGTTAAAGAAATGTGGTTGCTTCGTGCATGTGCATATGTCATGGCTGTATTTTTTTTGTATTCGCTTGTGGGGCATGGATGTTGTTGGCTCCACCAGCATTCATTGCTTGTCCCTAGTTGCCCTTGAATAGGTGGTCGTGAGCTGCCTCCTGAACCGCTGTAGATAAATCCACAATGCCACCAGGGAGGTAATTCCAGGATTTTGTCCAGAAGACATTGAAGGAATGGCAATATATTTTCAAGTCAGGATGGTGAGAGACTTGGAGGGGAACTTGCATGTATATGTCCTTTTAGAAGGCAGTGGTCACGGGGTTCCACAAATTTGTATATAACTTTGTTACCTTCAACCCAAATCTATCTGTTTTGTTCTTTTAAAACAATCATCTGTTTCAAACAGAAGTACAACAGCAAATAATGGGAGCTCTGTCAAACTGAAACATATGACCTTCAAGTTGCCGGTGATGAAGGCTAGTTCACCAGGAATAAACGTTTCTGCTCAAACTCAACAGTGAAGGGAAATTAGATGTTGATTTGTTTTCTGAGCTATTTCACAAAGGACATCAAAATGAATGAAAACTAATTTGGTGAGAGCTTGCTAACATGGTATTTTTATTCAAAAACAGTTCCATCTAAGTTGGAGACAGTTTCTTCCACTTCCTCATTTTCCATTCAGGATAACATTCTTAAATCCAGTTCAAGTCCTACCTCTAAATTATTTGGCTTATATTTCTTTTCTGTATCCCAAGGGGGGAGGTTCTCACCAAACATCACAGATAAATGATCAATAAACCTGAAAAGAGAACCGAGCCAAAGTTAATCTCCAGCAACCTTGCTTGGCAGCAAACAAAAATTACATTCATGTATCAGTACTATAAAGATATAACTTTTTGTTTTACTTTATTCTTGATTGAACTGGGAAAAGGACTGTTTATATAAAATGAGAACCGAGAAAGCAATTGCTGTATTTTTAATTATCAAGTGACTGAAACTCATTGTAAGTTATGTTTACATTTTTGCTTTGCAAGCAGCGTGGGAAGGAGTTAAAGACGACAGCATGGACACCAGTACGTGTACTGAGTGAGATTCAGCCAGTAGCAAGTAGCTGATTGGTTAGTGGAAATGTGACCAGTCATGGATGCCAAGGTCATCAGCTTGCACCAACTCTGTGATTAGTTGCTGGGTAGCTGAACAGCTTGAGGATGTGAAAGCTTCAAGGGCAGGCCCTCAGACTTTTGCAAAGGGAGATAGTCTCTCCCTTCCCTATAAAATACCTGAAGCTAAAGAAAACCAGGTGTTTTCTCCCATCGAGTGCTGTAAGATGTTGCTTTCAACCAAGAAGTAATTTGTGAACTAGTTCATCTTGTACTCCCATGAAGAAATGAAAGAACATGAAGGAGATGATCAGAGAATCAAAGAACTTAAACGAACAGTCGAATCCTGAGGACTATTGAAGAGTTTCCCTCCACTGGTACTTTTCCCCCCCTCCAGCCATAACACCAAGTTTTGTCGGGTGTGGGTGTGTGTGCGTGTGCGTGTGGTGAGTTGTACAAGGGAGTTATAGAGCTTTAACTGATAGAGTGATGTCGATAGTTCATAGTTGTTTACCTGTAGTTAGAATCTATTTGTTTGCACTCAAAAGCTCTTGTAAATACAGAAACCTGGTCCATGTTAATCTGAGTCTATCAAAAAGATAAATTGGAGATATCATGAAACATGATAACATTTTAACTTTTGTGACGTCTCAGATAATAATGTGGCTGATTTCCAACAAACTACCCCAGTGAGGCGTAACAGAATAAGGACACTAGAGGGCAGTCAGGACAGTCTCATTTCATCTTGTGACCTACATTCACGACCTTTGAGAAATGTCTGCTACCAAGCTATTCTCAGCCCTATTTCACCACAAAGCCATCAAAAAAGGAAGACTGCAAATTGCCAGTGTATTCAGATAGCTCCAGAAAGCAGGGACAAAGCCACTATTGTGCATGCATTAACTAAAGTGGGAAATAATTTTGACGTGGCTGTTGCTCATTCATTGAAGTGTCTAGTTTGAAGCTGTCATTAACATAACATAATTAAAATATCAGCCCACATCACATGAACATTTGCCTATAAGTTCTAGGCTTGCTCAGATCATTGGAGAGGCTATTTTTAGAACACAAGATGTCATACCTAAAACAAACACAGAGACTGCTAGAGAACCCAGTTCAGTGTCATACCGGACTCTGTTTCTCTCTCCACAGATATTGCCAGACCTGCTGAGTTTCTCCAGCATTACCTGTATTTGTTTCAGATATTCAGCATTTAAAAATATTTTGGCTTTGTCCTACCTTAAAACAGACATTAATATTAATTGCCAAAAGTGAAGGATGTCTTTATTTTGATATTTACCGTGTGTCTTCATGAAATGCTGAGATAAAATCCATTTGTTCATATTCCGGGTACAGAAACAACACAGGCCAACTTAAGTTGCCATTTTCATCTAAGTGTACTACATTGCCATTCTCAGAGTTTATGCCATCAAACAGAGTTCTTAATACCCTATTGTTTTCCTTATCATCATCATCACCACCATCTGAGTTTTGACCGGTCAACTCCTGAGGCTGAAATACCTTGATCTTCCTCTCCTGCAACAGAGAACAAATAAAACTAAAACAAAATTCAGAAATAGGGAAACAGCAGTGCTGATCTTAAATACCAAGTATCATTTTAAAAACATATCCTTCTCCAAAGCAGACATGTGAAATATATATCTTCTATATGTACTCATGAAGAAAAGTCAAATCTTTTAAACCCAATTTTAGAGAGTTTGACTTTTCCACAGATAATAATTTTATGGGATAGACGTGCATACTTGATTAGGTCACAAAGAAAGACCATCACAATGGAATAAAGTAAAAACCTATAACACTAAGGAATTCATATGTAGTCTCAAGCATTATTTATTTTGTAACATTACAAATTATATATATTTCCTACAAACAATACAAATATATACCATAAAGAATTAACTACAACAACCACACTGTAATCCTTCACTATCTCTCTGATAAGCATTTAAATCACTGAACAATTTATCCAAATATCCTCATCTTTATCTTATCATTGGTGGTACCAGGAGCTTCGACACCAAAATTCTATACATAGGATCCTAAATATCATTGCGTGTATTTGATATTCCATATATCTTAGAAATTATTTTTTGACATGACTGGCATCAAGTTCATACTACATGTCTAAAACCCATAGGTACAACGTTACTAGTCAGCGTGCCTACAATTTTCACCCCTAAATTCCCGTAACTTCCTTCAAACATTGTCCTTGAGACGGTTCTTTACACAGACATCTAAGGGTTGAACAACTTGTAAGACCACCAGCAAGAGCTGCCATGTTGGTTTTGATCTGACATCACAAATTACAGCATAAGGTGGGACCTCTACAATCCCAGATGCACGAGGAGGAGTAGGACATTCAGTCCCCCGAGCTTGCTCTGCAATTCAATAAGGCGAACACTTAAATATGTTTATGTCTTCAAATTCACATTGCTGCCTACCCTGATAGCCTGTTAACGCCTTGATTAACAACAATCTATCTACCTCAACCTTAAAAAAAGTCAAGGACTCTGTTTCCATCTTCTTTTCACGAAGGAAGTTCCAAAGACTCTCAGTCCTCTGAGAGGGAATGTTTTGCCTCATCTCTGTTTTATACCTTGAACTTATTTCATCGCCCTGCTGTAACTTCTTCCAGCTTCTAATATTTACCCTTGATCCACTTCATGCAACTGCAGTCATATAACCAGCCTTTCCCATGAACATGGATATAATGCCAGTCTGAAGTTTCTCTTTAGGAAGTTTTATGCTCCACTATTACCTTTAATCATGTGCCATCTGCCATATGTAACCACTCTGAACTATACCCACCCACTGCCAGTCTTCTTTACAGGGTCAGCATGTTCAACAATCTTGGCATCAGTCTTATTTACAAGCAGGTCGAAGGTCATTTGTTTCATTCATATTTCTAATGTAGACCATTCAACACATATTCATCTCTTGACGTCAGCTGATAATTTAATGATTTTATTATGTACAGATAGCAGGTGCTGTTCTGACAGAGCACTAAACTGTGCTTTTTCACAAAGCTTGGGTATGACATAGCATTGGCTTTCAATTCTGAAATGCCATCTTTCTTCATTTCTCAGAAGGCGCAAGGTCAGATGGCTACATAGGTGATACTTTGTTGATGCTTCATTAAACCTTTCGGCCACTTTTTCCTCCAAGTGAAACCACTTTCTTGATCTTCCTCTGCTGGCACATTAGTTGGCATCTTAGTTTACACACTCTCTATTTACTTGCAAACATTGAACTCTGTTACTACTGCACAAATTAGTCACAGCAAATGTTACAATTTTCATTTTAAACTGATCTGCATACCTGTGATTCTTCCCAAAGCTTTCAGAACTGATCTTGTAATACTCATTAGTATTTGTCAATTGGCTGAGAGATTGGTACTAGAATTGGCTGAAGTGAAATCTAAAAATTCTTGCATATAACTTCAAATTAATGAGGTCAGTAATTAACAATCAGTGATGAACAATCAGAACACAGTTTAATCTCTTAAAATCTCGAATTGAAAAGTTCAGCTTTTTAGAGACAAAGATCATGTGGTCATTTTCTTTAGATCAATTTTAACTTGAGTTATGTACGGTAATGTAGAAGACAGGCCCATTTTCCCCAATATTTCATATTCCTTTACCTTGACAGCCTTCAGTAAGGCTTCTGCTTGCACCCTTTCCTTCTTCTCCTTCAATTTTGCTTTCCTTAGATTACGCTCCTCAACTCGCTAAAAAAAAATTTATAATTTAGAACAAGCGAGGTGGCAGAATCAGTCAGAACAATGACCTTTCACTTGTGACCTAGATTCAACACATATTCAGTGTGATGCCTTTAAAGCCACCATTTTCTGCTTGCTGTGAGGGCTTTAAACACAATGATCTCAACATGAACCCATCACCAGAACACATGTTGTCAGTGCAAATCAATCTGTAAGATTACAATGCAATGCTAAACTGTTAATTCAAGTGCTCCCACTCTGCATTTAACAACACTTTTCTTAGAGTCAGAGAATCCCTACAGTGTGGAAACAGGCCATTCGGCCCAGACAGTTGCCCGAGGGTGGAATCGAACTCAGGTCCCTGGCTCTGTGAGGCAGCAATACTGACCACTGAGCCACTGTGCCTTGAGGAACCACTTTGACAATTTCTGCATTGTACATATACTTAATTGACTAAACCTCCTGTATCCAGCACTCATGCAATGCAGTCATCACAGACGTTATCTCCCACAGTCAAGTACTTAACCAGCAGTCACTAAACATACCTTCTGTTTATCAGCTTTGGCTCTCAATTCAATGAGTTGCTTTTCTTTGGGTTCAAACTGGAGGCCCTCATCACACCATGCTATTGCCTGGCTGTAATTTTTCAGTTCAATATGACAAAGGACACCTGTCAACACAACACTTCAGTCATTTAATATCACTGGAAAATCCATTTCCCAAAGCTTTATTTACTGATCAAGTAACTGTAGTGAGATGCCAGTTTCACAACACCCATCTCCATTTCATAATGCAGCACTAATGTTAATAATTAAATATGGAGTGTATTAAATGATCAATCTTTTCAAGAAATGATTTTTTTTTCTCAACAAAAAGAGGGAAAAATGGATGACAGTAGGAAAGGGAGGTTCATCATCACCTATGGTTAGTAATAAACATTGGTTCCATGTGGCATTGCTCTGTCTCTGCCTTTGGTCTAAGACCAAAAGAAAATCAAAAGGGGAGCACGACACTGTTAAACTCATAATTGCCTGTGTGTGTGGCACAAATATTTGGAACATTGAGTTCTGTGGAAGGATCACTGAACCCAAAACATTAACTCTGATTTCTCTCCACAGATGCTGCCAGTCCTGCTGAGCTTTTCCAGCAACTTGTTTTTGTTTCTGATTTACAGCATCCACAGTTATTTCGTTTTTCATTTACAAATGTTTGGAAGTCCAGTATAGTATCTCAGATTCTGAGTTCACTGCTGTGGTTTCCCGCTGGCAGAGTTCCTCATGGATCTCCCAGTAGAAAAGTAGGTGTTGCTGAATCTTAAACTAGAGTTGTATGGCGGGACTGTATGAAGTCCCGATGCAGTTTATTCTGTGAGAGTTGCCTGTGAAATTGAAAGGTCAGATAATAACCCAGCATCTGGAACCCTCCCAAAAATTCCCCAAGTCTGAGTTAGAGTCACAGACCTTGGAGGCTACTGCCTTACTTTCCTTAACCAGGAAAGGTTAGGGAGGTTCAGATTTGCTCCAGCTATAAAACTAACTCTACGTATGAGCAAATTCCTGCAGATGCTGGAATTTGTACTGCAAACAAAAAAATGCTGGAAATCACAGCAGTTAAGGCAGCATCCATGGAGACAGAGCAAGCTAATGCTTCGAGTTTAGATGACTCTTCATCAGGGCTGACGTGAAGTGTGGTGGAGACAGTATTTATGCAATAGTGGGTGCGGGGAGCAGAGTCATGCTGACTGCTGGGGGAGAAAGGGTGTTCATAGTGCAGATTAAATGAGTGGAATGTGAGAATGACAGAACAATGTGTTCAACCCACTCCAATTCCTTCCCTTTCTTTTAGCTTTATTTGTTACATTTTCTGTCACCATGTCCTCTCTCCCCTGCCCCCAGTCCAGTAGGACTGTCTGTTCTTTCCAGTCTGGCAGTTAGACACATCATTGTTCTGCCATTCTCACACACTAATCACTTAATGTGCACTATCAGCACCCTTTCTACCACAGCACTCCACCCCTCTCCCCCTCCCCCCCCATAGCATAAATGCTGCTCCCTCCACACTTCACATCTGCTCCCTCCACACTTCACATCAGCTCTGATAAACAGTCATCTAGACTCAAAACATTAGCTTGTTCTCTCTTCATGGATATTGCCTGACCTGCTGTGATCTTCAGCAGTTTTGTTTTCAGCACATAAAACTAACCCTCCTTGTTTGACTTATCTCAGATTCCCATCACCACTGCCCCCAAACTCCCAATACCAAACCCTTTGTGAACATCAATGTCTCCCCTCAACCCAGATACCCAACAAATAGACCCCCACCTCCACCTCCACCTCCACCTCCCCCTCCCTGACCCTGAACACCTGACAGCCGTAGGACTCCCTCCACCCCTCTCAATCGCAACACCTCTAAAGACCACAAAACACCCTCCCCCCGCCCCATCTGCCTTCCCTCAGTCACTCTCCCTTGCTTCCAATACAGTCACCAACTCACCCCAGGATCCTTGGACCTGACAGCAATCCTCAGACAACCAAATTCCCCCTCATGACCCCTAAACCAATTTGCATGAATTCTCCCCACTACCCGACCCCACCCCACCAGATGGAAACAACCAGACAGCCCTGAACTCCCTCCCAGATACCCATCCACTTATTTAGAACTCCATACCACTCACCCACATCACCCACCCTAATCCCTACCTGTACACCACCCATCTAACCTTCTGTTATCCCACCCAGCACCTGAACAGCCCACACACCTTTACGCAACTGGTACCCCCTCACCTATCTTATCGCAGTAGCTGTCAGTGACTTTATGACTTTTTAACCTTGAAATACAGCAGTTACTGCTGCAAAAGAAAGATGTGGTTTTAGTGTTGATCCAAGCATGTGTTGCCTGCATGATGTACCACTTTGGACCTGATCACTTCAGCTGGGAAAGCTTCTGCCTTGGATGCTCAGCTAGAAAATTCCCTTAAAGCGAAGTGGGAACTTTTTGTCTGATCTGGTTCAGAAATAGGGATTCTGACCTTCAAACCCTCCTTACAGATTTCCTAAAAGCTGGGGGAAGTGGGGGGGGTAGAAGAAAGGAGGGTCTCGTTGCACCCAGCCATACCACACAACAACTCAAAGAGATTTAGCAGGGAATAGACCATATATCCCCCTAGAAAGGAGGGGAAACAAAATAAAACTCAAATGTTTCTGCAGTCTTACCTCTAATAATTGCTTTCAAATGGTTTGGTTTCAGTTTCCTAGCTGCAATCACATCATTTAGTGCAGATCGATTATTACCTTGAATAAAGCATATTAAAAGTGAGAGTGCAGGAACAAATTTACTTTTCTGTTCACCATATTTGTCAGTTCCACACTTAATAGCTGGCATTACCTGGGTATACTTGAATGTGGAGGAAGGTGCTCCTGGACTACCAATATGACTTTTTTCCTGTAATTTTATATTTTCTTTTCCTCTAATTATATTAGTTTACAGCCTATAACTAATTGTTGAGTTGATCTAATGACACAATAACATCTTTAATTGTTGTGTTTCACTTTAGAACACATACAAAAATGCAATGTGACATTTCAATTAAACACACCAGCAATCCTTCTAGTCCCTCAAGCAAGATTATTTGGGATTCAGACAGTCTGATACTCAATTCACTTAAGATGCTTACACCAAACAGACTCATTCACATTGAGAGACTTATCCCATTGTCTGACACTGGTTCAGACAATCCTTAATGCTGACTTCCTAAACATCCCAGTTCCAGAATTGTCAAGTACCAACCAGCCATACCTAAATAAAATTGTGCTGCTGCTCTGTTCGTATGGAGTATGACATTCAGCTCACAGTCACTGCATTTTCTCTTCAGCCCTTCTGTGTAGGAGATGATGGCTTTCTCATAATTCTTTTCCTTGAAGTAATGATTCCCCTCATTTTTGTATGTTTTTGCAAGCTCTGTAAAACGTAATTTAAAAGAAAAAGTTTAACATAACCTATAAGCAGTTATATTCATCCAGCCTGATATAAAAATGTGATTTATCATTTAATCTTACATGGATGGTCAACTCATTTCAAAAGGCATTAAACCAGAAAGTGGAAATTGCAGCATTATTCTACGAAAGTGGCAATAAGGTTCTCCCCAATGATTTTCCCATGAACAGTTTCAGTACCTTCAATTCTGATGACATCAGTGAATAAACATATATTCAATAGATTATTTAGAAACCATTTCACAGGATTACTATCTTCTTTGTATTCTTCTGAAAATAAAAATGGGGTCAGGCTAAAAGACTGCACTGTAGAGTACTGACTGTATTATAATCTAATACTTTTATACATGATAACATGTAGATGTGGAGATAGCAACATAGTGGTAATGTCACTGGACCAGTAATCAAAATGCCCAGACTAATGTTCTGGGACATGATTTCAAATCCCCCTTCAGCAACTGACATGACAACAATCAATTATTGCAAAAATGCATCTGATTCACTAATGTCATTTGGGAAAGGAAATCTACTATCCTTACAAACCAAAGCAAAATGCCAGAAGACTGAAAATAAGAACAAAAGAAGCTGGGAAAATTCAGGTGGTCAGGCAGCACTAACAGCTTCTGGTTCAGATCAATGACTTTATAACAGGACACAATTGCTCTTAATCAGCCATCCTTACCCAGTCAGACCAATATGTGATTCCATATCCACTATTAAGTGGTTGACTCTTCCTCCAAAATGCCCTCGCAAGCCATTCAGGCAACAGATGCTAGCCTTGCTGATAACACACATTCCATGGAAAAAATAAATAAAACCCAGCCAAAGCCAGAAAATTTCATTCCACTGAATTCTCAGAAGAAGGAATCAGCAGGAAACCAGCTAATTGTTTGCAAAATGAAAATCTGCTAATTTAAATGTGTTTTGGTTGAATTTCGGTACCTTCTGGAGATTGATCCTCATCATACAACATTGACTGAATGCAGGCAAGTTCTGGATGTTTCAAAGGATCAAGTTCTTCAGGTGGCTTTTTCATAAACATTGGAATCTTTTCAAATTCCTTGGCAAGAATAAAAAGTAAAAACATGGTCAGCATTTACATATTATGGAAATTATGCCTTTACTCGAAGTACAGCTAATGAGCACGTGTCTACAGGGTTCCAGACAAGATGGTATCTCTTACCATCTTCTGTACATAATCATGTTCATTAAAGCCTGTTGCTGTTCAATCAAGAATATGGATCTTTCAATACTACAATCATGATCTAGCCCTTTTCTATCTCAGTTTGCTCCTGCTCATCTTTTCTGGTACCTGATTGTTCCTTAATGAGCAAGATGAGAAAATATTAATGATATAATTTGCAAGTTCTTCATAAAATCAAAGGGCGATTTATTGGCCTGCATCAATAATGGAAAGTGTCTTTAATATAATTATGTTTTGAAATAATTTGAGGTAAAATGGAAGTTGTCTTTCCATACTAAGATTTAGTATGAAGATCAATTCTCTAGAATTTCGTGCGTATGTGTATGTGTATATCTGTATAGGTTTAAGGGCAAAGAAATTAGCTTTAGTTTTCTCAACATTTAACTAAAAGACTGCATCCAGGTAAAAAGCAACAATGGCGGACAAAAGAGATGTTAAGAGTGTTAAGGTGCCACCAGCATATACGTGAAAGCTGATCTATGTCAATAACCAAATATGTCAATAGCCAAAGAAAGGGGCTGTTTGTAGATAATTGAGGGACAACAGAAGTAACACAACACATACAGAAGAAATTGTTTAGACTGAAATCAAGAAAGAGCAGTTCCATCGAGCTGGATAATGGAGAGCAGGTACTGGAGGAGTAAATTTGATCCACATTATGTATATGTATGCAGGACATCATAGAGGTTTGCAGCACAGAAAAAGGCCCTTTGGCCCATCAAGTCTGCGCCAGTCAAAAACAAGCACCAAACTATTTTTCAGCACTTGGCCCATAGCCTTGACGTGACCAGTGCATATCTAAATACTTCTTAAATGTTGAGAGTTTCTGCTTTTACCACATTTACAGACGTTAAGTTCCAGATTTCCACCACCTTCTAGGTGAAAAAAATCTTTTGCTGACATCCCCTCTAAACCTTCTGCCCCTTATCTTCAATCTATACACTCCCGGTAATTGATATTTTTTAATCAAGGGCAAAACTTCCTTGTGTCTACCCTATCTATGCCCCTCATAATTTTCTAGATCTCAATCATGCTCCCCTCCTCACCCCCCTCTGCCTTAGACTCTTCTGCTCCAAGGAAAACAATTCCAGTCTATTAACTTTCTCTTCATAACTAAAATTCTCCAGCCTGGGCAGCATCTTGGTGAATCTGCCATGGATACCGAGGAGAGAAATTCATTGTGGTACAGGCTATAGCCAGTATAATTTGGGATTAACAATTTGCAGCACCGCGGCAGAAATTTGATCAGAGTTGGAAATCTGATCAAGAAATTTCAAACTTGGAGTGACTGGAAACATTGTCATGGATTTTAGAATACCAACGTGTCAGGAGGGGAACTGTAAGTTGGGGTGGGGGTGATGACAGGTTTTTAAAGGGAGCCACGGCAATTTCTCAGCACAGAGAACTATTTAAAATGCCAGATAGTCTGGGAACTAGGAAAGGAGGTTGTGATCAGCTGTTGGAAATGAATTTTAAAAATAGATGAAATATAACTTCAGTCTGACCGCCAAGTAATCTTAGCTAGTGGATCCTAAGCAAGCTCCAAATGTTATTATCACGTAACATTCACATAATTACAGTAGTTTGTTACTCCTCATATGCCGGTATTTCCTGGCAATTTATCTAACCCTGCTATCTGTACCGCTTGCTCTTCTTTCCCCACAAGTTGCGAGTCGGGAAAAGCAACATTTCCAAAATATTCACAGCAGTTTCCCTACCCCCACCGATTTCTAGGAAGCCCTCAAAATCTCACCTCTTCCCAGTTATCTTCGTTGAAGCCTCCTTTATACTTCTTCTCCTTGAAGTGGTCGTAAAGCGCATCCATGCCATCGTCGTCCCCCGACGATGCCATGCTGCCCACTCACAGAGAGCTCTCGCTGCCCACAATTGATACACTCGGCGATTTGTTACATTCAGCAAACACACGTTTCCGGCTGCACCACTGCAAATCGTCCCCCAGTTCCAAAAACACTTCCGCCTAACCATTATACTGACAGTGGAGCTATCTGAAATGTAAACCTCTGCATCGAAGTGAAATCTGTGGCACTGTGTTTTGGATACTAGCTATTTAAAAGGGGCGAGAGATCTAAATCGATGCTGTGCACAGTTTTTATGCAGTGAGCCATTGGGTAGAGCGTACTGAATTCTCCAAAGTGCTAGGGTATTGTTAAAAACAAAATAAATCCATTGCTTATTATACAGTAAAATTAGTTGTGATCACTTTAAGTGAGCAGCCTATCAAAAGTACAAAAAAAAGGGACACTGAAAAGCCATGGGAAGATCAGGTTCCATGATGATGGCCACGCTGTGTGACCTAAGGCAGGAGTCTGGGGGAGGGGAAGTTAAAAGTAGAAAGTCATGTAACGACATCTCCAGGAATATAACCAGCCAGAGTGGCAACTGTATTCCATAGATATGTAAAGGGCATCATCAGCAATTGAGTTATTAGAGTCAAAGAGGTAGTAAAAACTCCATGGAAGATGTCAAGGGGCTGGTGCCAGGAGGGCACATGTAATGTGCCGTGGTGGCTGTTTAACAAATGGAGGATGAAATTTCACACAGATTTTCCTGCTACATACTCATTTTAGTCATTTTTAGTCAATCTATTCGGTCAGTCATTGGCACACTTCTGGCACAAGTGTGACTTGAAACCGCAACTTTCTGGCTCAGAGGCAGGCACACTAACATTGCACTTCAAGAGGCCTTTAACTTCATCATGTGTACTGATGGCACAAGTTCTGCATCTTTACTGCACCTCTATAACAAAAGACCCATCTACCCATTAGCCCTGTCATTGCTGACCTCCCTAGGTTTCCAGCCTTCTAACACCTCAAAATTAAATTTTTAATCATGTGTAAATCTTGTCACGGCCTTATCCCTAGCTCTACAAAACAGGTGACAATTTTATATATATATATAATATATATGCTTCCTACCTCAAACGGACACGAACCACTTCAGTCTTTTTCTTCTTTGGTTCTCCAGTCAAAGCCAGGTCTGACTCCTAGCACCACAATTTCATCTGTGAGTAGGGCAAAGAGGCAGGACCTGAGATCACACCAGATGGATCAAACCCCCTGCAGTTGACAACAATCTGGTCCACACTAGCTGTCCAGCCAACTGAATCAATTTGTGCTGTAGTGGCAACAAACATTTTTACATCCATGTAGCCTGGAACTCTGGAGAATTATAGAGGCTCCAATTTCTTTCCATCATATGGCTGACCAGAAATCTCTCCACTTCTTACTATTTGCCATTTGTGTTTATTGGAAGGAAATACAAGTTGTTACTCAACTTGTTAGGGCACCTTTCTTGGCCATCAAGTCCTAGAGACAGACTTGAAACTGGAGCTTTGGTTTAGAGGGAGGCATACTACCCACTGATACACAGGACCTCCCTAAGGCAGACTAGTAGGTGTAAATGTTTTCAGGTCACTTCTCTATGATTCGGGCACATTTCATGTGTCAAATGCCATGAAAAATTTCAATTCTTTTCAAAGGCATTCACAAAAAATCTGCCTATTCACTCGACAGATGCAGACGGAATTAGTGTGTTTCTAGTGCTCCCTTATTTTGTTCAAGATTTCAGAATTTACATTCTTTTCTCTTTATACTAAAGAGTCTTCCAATGAAATCTGTACTCTTTGGAGTTATTAAATGACACTATCATCAGTTTCCTCAATTCTGTTCTTTCTACCAGTGTCTACTCTCTCTATTCCACCCATTTCTCCATTTTTAAAGCATATTCCTTTTTCTTTTCCACCTCTTACTATTTTTGGCCAGCTCTCCATGAGCACCAACACAATTCCCATTCCTGCACACTCCATATTGTGGTCAGGTCCTGCATGTGACGGACAACCCAAGCTATGTTGTGATATGAAGGGGTGATGGGCCACTAGAAAACGCAGCACTTTCTCCTCTTGTCGTTTTTAGTGCCAAATAGCAGATCAGCTGCTTTTATCAGTGGATTTTCTTCAAGCAGGGGAATGTGTGGTGGGCCACTGAAATCATTAAATGGACTGGCTTCAGCCTGATCAGATACCTTAGCTAACCTCTCATCCTTGATTCCTGTATTTTAAGCACCGTTGGAGCTCCAAGAAGTGCACTACAAAATTACAGAAAATGGATTCCTGCAGTGTGTCTCCATCCTCAGCAGAGTTATTGTGGAGTCATTTATTGCTGGCAAGCACAACATGGGCAAAATCAGCCAGATCAATCTATTGCTATCATTCAGTCAGGGGACAAAAGCTAATCAGCAATCTCCTGCCTACCCAGGCAACAAATAATGGCTCCAAAATTTCTTCATCTCTAACCCACCCAATTCAGTTTTGATAACTGTATATACTGACATACAAAATGAATCATGTTGTCCTGACCTTACTACATCTTATTCTGCATTACAATAGGGGCTACACTTCATAAGTACTTCATAGGTAGAACAAATTGGGATTTCCTGATGTATTGAAAGATGACTGCAAGTCTTTCTTGTTCCTTCCTTTTCCTCAGAAGTCTATAGCCTGGGGCCTGCTTAATGTTTCTATGGGCTTCTGGATGTTTTCAAAAAGATCAAACCAGAACAACTCTAGACCCAAAGATCCCCTGGAGAGGTGGGAGAGAAAGGCAACATTTAAATTCTTAGGATCCTCTGATTCATAGAACAGGGAGGCCAGACATAAGATGCAATCAGGCAATTCTGATAAGAGTTTGAGGAATGTGACGTGGGGCTTGGAATGCTTACCCTCACCTTATTGTCACGCACATTTTTGACTACAGGCTTCCCCTCCATTAGTAAAGTGTTGAAAAGATTAGGGTGACAAGAAGAGGTCACAGACCTGGTAACATAGGTCCCTGCCTGCATTTCCCATGACTTCCTACTTCCTAGACAAACATCACAGGAAATTTAGCCCCAAAATGCTGCAACCGCAGAATGAGGCAGGGTAAGAGTGGAAATAATAGAGTTAAATGAATGGATTTGTAACCTAAAACTGGAGTTTGCTTCAAATAATCATTGACACTATACAATATATGACACACAAGACAATAACACAGCATAAAAAGAAACTGAAGTAAGGTTATAGTTCAACTATTGTTATTTTCTGATAGATTAGTCAAGTAGCTAGATATTCATCCCAGGCAGCGGTGCACAATGGGCAAAATTGGTTCATGTGATAAGCAGAGCCTGAATTTCAGTTCCTGGGCAGACAATGGGATTAAATCCCAGGTACTCCAAATAACAGGCAACTGGTCTGATATCACAACTTTTGTCCCACTGCCTGAGTTGAGTTTCCAAGGCAATATTTTTGAAATGTAGTGACACCTCACAGCATCTGATGATCTTTGGTGGAGCAGTAGATGACTAGTTTTCTAGGGCTTATATTACATTTATAGATTAGATGGCCTGTACATGTTGTGTATAGAAAAACTAGACAAGCAACTCCTTAAAAAAATCCTCATTTTACTCAGACAACCTTCTCTGAATTCAGACATTATATGATTTGTATAGCTCTCCCAGTCAGTAGGGTATAAATGAATGAACACATCAGTATAGCATTGAAATAAAATGTCTAAAGTAAAAGCATGATTGTAGAAATGTGTTCATTCCAACAACAAAGCAAAAGTAACCCAATAACCCTGCACATTTGATACATGATAATTCTCATACAAGACATACTAAATTACCGACTACAGTACTATGTGTAATACAAGGTATTCTTGGTATAAATTTTAGTTTTTATTTAGGTTTGCTTTGTTACTGATCCCATTGTCTGCAATACCATAGCTTCAGTTTCAATTGCTGCACTGCATTCTCCAAAACTGTACATTGATTAAGTCTCTTTCACTATTAGTAATTCATATAAAAGCATCTTGATTGTTACTTCCTTTGATACAGCTTAGTAATCTTTAACAGTTCCCTGCCATAAAGGAAACAGCATAATTATACCAGATATATCATTGTGTACAATTTCCTTTTCTGTACACTTTCAAAAAAACCCTGATTTCAAGGGTCTACAAACTACAGCAAAGCACTTTCACCAGTATAGGTGGTCCTAGACTAACACAATGACATGTACTAAGCAATCTTCACATTTCTCAAAAAGTCCAAGACACCTTCTTGCGTGAGAAATACTGTTTTCCCATTATTTTGGCAGTTGACTTCAAAAACAGGTGGATTTTCCAAAACCCTCTTCCCTGCAACGACAACATACGGGTAACCCAGACGACTGGCATCTTTCAATCTCTTGCCTATAGTCAGGTGGCTTCGGTCATCCAAGAGTACCTCTCCACGAAGCTGGGGGACAGCATCTATTAGAGTATCATACAGCGTTTCAGATAGACCTAGGCTCAGTTCTTCCTTGCTGCCTTTCTTAGGCGGAATGATGCAAACTTGGTAAGGGGCCAGGAGGCTTGGCCAGCGAATGTCATCTTCCGTTGACAAAACCTCTATGGCAGCGGCTAGTATTCGCGTGACTCCAAGACCAAAACAACCCATTTCGGCTATGACGGGCTTATTCTCAGTGTTGGAATACGAGGCACCTAAGATATTTGAATACTTTGTCCCAAGGTAAAAAGTGTGTCCCACCTCAATGCCTTTGCTTTCTTTCAGCTTTCCATGACACTGCGGGCAGTTTGTTTCAATGTCTGTCATTGCTTCGACATTGGCTGCAAAATGGCAGTCAGAACATATTAAAAGGCGATCCTCCCCAATGTCAGCTGGCAGCTGGAACTCGTGAGACATTTTACCACCAATGCTGCCAGTGTCTGCCTGCACCTTTACAAACTGCAATCCCAACTGGTCAAAGATGCGACTATAAGCTTGGGAAACAAGGTCATAGGTCTCCATGGCAGCTTCTTCTGAGACATCAAACGTGTACATATCCTTCATGTAGAACTCTCGTCCACGGAGCAAACCGAAACGTGGCTTTGGCTCATCTCGGAACTTTCTTGTCACTTGGTAAAGCATCAAAGGTAGCTGTCTGTACGAGAGATTACCCTGCATGGCAATGAGCTCCGTCACTGCTTCCTCATGTGTTGGACTTAAACAGTATTCCATGTTATGCCTATCCTTCAGTCTGAATAGTTCCTTCCCCAGAAGGTCCCAACGTTCACTGGTCTTCCACAGACTTGCTGAGGTGAGGCTGGGCATATTCACCTTCTGACCCCCAATGGACTGCATTTCCTTATCAATCACACGAACAAGTTTCTCCATGGCTCGAACTGTATATGGCAGATAGTGAAAGCAGCCTGTATTGGCTGGCTGAATAAGACCCGCCTGAAGCATCAGTCTTTGGCTCTTGCAGGTAATCTCACTGGACCGGCCAGCCCCAATAGTTCTGTCCTCACGGAGATTCATTGGCTGAAAGAGATGAGACAGTAATATATGCTTGGACCTACCATGGTGATAATGGGACCTGTGTAAATGTAAGATGTCACAGAACAGTCTGCTGAACAATTGTCTTGAATATGAATAGATTGCCATCTCCATTATGCATCCAAGAAATAATCAGTTCTAGAAAGGAAAACAAAGAGTATAAGTTCACATCCTTCTCAAAAAAGTACATTTTGAAAATCCATACAACATTTAAGAAAGGAAAGCACTGTGGGCTGAATGCATAATAGCAAGTGAACTAGATGCGTCCTAGTCATGTATTTTCATTTTCAATGTTTATTAAGATGAGAGATGCAAAACATATTCACCTATCTAAGGTCACAATTAAGCAACTAATAACAATTAAGCAATCCTCATGGTGCCACCAAAAGCAGGAAAAGATCACACAACTGGCTTACTTTACTGTAGGTCCAGCATATTTTGGTTATTATATCTCAGAGCATGGCTTCACACACAGTTAACTAAGTCTAGCTACATCCACCAGGATTGATCGCCACATTCTAAGCTGGATTGAGTATTGGGGTCGCCATTTTATCACCTCCAACCTAGGTTCTTAAAAGTGCCTGCACAGCTACCAGCAAAATGTGATTATCTTCCAAACTTCTTAGGTTCTGGCAAAATACCAGTAAACTGGAAAATAGCAAATGGAACAATTTTACTTGAGGAGGAAAGAAACAAAATACAGGAACATATAGGACAATAACCCAATGATGCAACTACTTGACTTGCTGGAATCCAGTACTATGGTTATAGAAGGATACTTGAAAATCATAACGGAATTTGGCAGAGTCAACATGGTTCTGTGAAAAATAAATCATGTTCAACTATTGTGTTAGAGTTTTTTGAAGAAGTAACAAGCACAGCAGATAAAGGGGAAGCCTGTAAACATGGTATGCTGAGATTTCTAACAGTCTTTTGTGAAAGGTCACATCAAAAGTTGCGATACAAAGTAAGTGGTCGTGATGTATGCGCAGCATTGTAATATGAAAAAGGACTGGTTGTTTGACAGGAAACAAAGTAGGATAAATTAGTCTTTTTCAGACTGGCAGACTGTGGTTAGTGGAGTGCCACAGGAATAATTGCTTGGCCCTCAACTGTTTACAATCTATATCAATGACTTGGATGATGGGATGACAGTAGTTAATTTTGCTTACAACATAGCTAGGAAGGTTAGTTGTTAAAGGAGCTACAGGCTGCAAAGCATTAAGAGAGTGGGCAAAAATTCAAAGCATAATACAGAGAAATGCAAACTTCCACATTGGCAGGCAGAATGGAAACGTAGTGTTTTAGTTAAATGGAGATAGATTGCAGAACTCAGTGGTACTGAAGGAGTCACAGAAAGTAAGTATGCAGTTTCAGAAAGTAATTCAGAAAACAAATGAAGTATTGGTGCTTATTGTAATAAGAATATATAAAAGTAGGGAGTTTTCTTTATAGCTGTATAGAGTGTTGATGAGACTACATCTGGAGTACTGTGTCTAGTTTTGGTCTCCTTATTTGAAAGAGGATGCAAGTGCTTTCTTTAGAAGTTTATACAGTGGTCACTCAACTCATTCACTACCCCTATCCATCACTCACCCCTCTCTCTCTATTACTCATCAATTCAATCACGCCTTCTCATTCATTCATTCATTCACTCCCCTCCCTCCATCTCCCTCTCACTCATCCTGTCTCTCACTCACTCCCACAACCCCATCCCTCTTTCACTCCCTCCCCCTTCTCTCACACTCACACTCCCTACCCCGTGACTTCCAAACACTCACTCCTTCCAAACACTCACACCTGTCCCTCACTCATTCACCCCTTATCTGTCTGTCTTGCTCACTCTCCTTCTCTCTCCCACATTCACTCATTCCCCCTCTCTCTTTCCTTCTCACTCACTTCGTTACTCCGTCCACCTGACTCGCATTCTCCCTAATGCGCATGTGTCGGTTACTGTTACGGATCGGGACTCAGTCCAGAACGCACCAAATCGCGAATCTCGGCACCAGCTCCGGGCCCTCGCTGTGCTTCAAGTGCTTCCAAAGTTTGTCAACTTTTACCATTTACACCTCTTTGCTTCTAAAGGGAAGTTCCGACGATTTTACTGGAATTGCATCACCTTCCATCCCAAAACAGGTCCTGGGATGAATCATTCATATCAAAACAGCTATTTTGCTTTTCCCCAAGTACCTTTCTCCCTCAATGGTATAGTCTTAAAACCAAAAAATGCTGAAAACACTCAGCATACGTGGGGAGAGCAAGAGAATTAATGTTTCACGTCTGCGACCTTTCATCAGAACTGGACTGTTGACACGGAGAGCAGAATGAATATCATTAAAAATAAATCAGAATTAAGTATCCATCAAAATTAAGCACCGTAACACTTTGAGGAGGTGTCATTCAAAGGTGGCCATTCCTGCAAAAATGCTATCCCCTATTCCCAATTCCTTCGCCTCCGACGCATCTGCTCCCAGGATGAGGCATTCCACTCCCGTACAGCTCAGTTGTCCTCGTTTTTCAAGGACCGTAACTTCCCCCCATTCAGTGGTCGAGAACGCCCTCAACCGTGTCTCCCACATCTCCCGCAACTCATCCCTCACACCCCGTCCACACAATAAGAACCAAAAAAGAATCCCCCTCGTCCTCACGTACCACCCCAACAACCTCCGGATCCAACGCATCATCCTCTGACACTTCCGCCATCTGCAATCCGACCCCACCACCAAAGACATCTTTCCCTCCCCACCCTTATCTGCTTTCCGGAGGGACCACTCTGTCCGTGATTCCCTTGTGCGCTCCACACTCCCCTCCAGCTCCACCACACCCGGCACTTTTCCCTGCAACCGCAGGAGGTGCTACACCTGCCCCCATGCCTCCTCCCGCACCCCCATCCCAGGCCCCAAGAAGACTTTCCACATCAAGCAGATGTTCACCTGCACATCTGCCAATGTGGTATACTGCATCCGCTGTACCCGGTGTGGCTTCCACCACATCGGGGAAACCAAGCGGAGGCTCGGGGACCGCTTTGCAGAACACCTACGCTCGGTTCGCAATAAACAACTGCACCTCCCAGTCGCGAACCATTTCAACTCCCCCTCCCATTCCTCAGACAACATGTCCATCCTGGGCCTCCTGCAGTGCCACAACGATGCCACCCGAAGGTTGCAGGAACAGCAACTCATATTCCGCTTGGGAACCCTGCAGCCCAATGGTATCAATGTGGATTTCACAAGCTTCAAAATCTCCCCTCCCCCTACCGCATCCCAAAACCAGTCCAGCTCGTCCCTGCCTCCCTAACCTGTTCTTCCTCCCACCTATCCCCTCCTCCCACCTCAAGCCGCACCCCCATCTCCTACCGACCAACCTCATCCCGCCCCCTTGACCTGTCCGTCCTCCCTGGACTGACCTATCCCCTCCCTAACTCCCCACCTACACTCACCTTTACTGGCCCCATCCCCGCCTCTTCGACCTGTTTGTTTCCTCTCCACCTATCCTCTCCTCTATCCATCTTCTATCCGCCTCCCACTCTCTCCCTATTTATTTCAGAACCCCCTTCCCCTCCCCCTTTTCTGATGAAGGGTCTAGGCCCGAAATGTCAGCCTTTCTGCTCCTATGATACTGCTTGGCCTGCTGTGTTCATCCAGTCCTGCACTTTGTTGTCTAGGCTACAGCGAAGGGCATTTTGGACGGTCATAGTGCCACTACAAATATTTTCTATGTTTTTTCATTCTGCTGAAGATTTGCAGTGAGAGCTTCAGTTAGTAATCTGCTGAATGATGCACAGCGATGATCTTTGTTGTCTTGAAAGCCAATTTGTCTGAGGGGGGAGTATATTGCTAAATATATACGTTTTCTTCTCCTGTTGAACCGACGTCACGGTCTTAAGAACAACATTATGTTGGCCAACAGTACTCCAATTGGCCCAGCAGATAACACCCCTTCAATTAGTCAGCTTGACGAAGGGGAATTTGGTGGAACATAAGCGCAAGAGGACCAAATAGAAAAATCCACAAGGAAATTCAACTCATTTCAGCTCAATGACTTGCCACTGGAAAATGTTGTTGGCAAAGCTGACCAAACAGGGATTTTTTTTTTCCTTGCATCTGCACTTACTGAAAAAGTCTCTAACTGATTTTAGGTATGATGAAAATAATCAACCTGAAACATTAGAATCTGCCAGCTTCAATCCTGTCTTAACGACAAGACCATGTTCAGATCTAAAGCTCATTTATCTGAATGGTGCCACTGACTGTAACTCTTTATCATTCTGTCTCCAGGCTTCCTGACCAGTTAGGGAGCATGTGCAGAATGACACGTCCATTCTGTCAAAAGAAGGATTATTAATTAATAGGATCATGGCATGGGCAAGAAAGATTCACCAGAATCTGACTCTTTGAGGTTGGAGCAATCCTCCCAAATAAGAAGGTGAGCTTTAGAGAAGGAAGAACAGGTCGAAGTTCTCATTACCAAAACTGAGGTAGGGTTCCAGAATTAGCTGAAGACAGACCGTCCTTTATAAACGTGTCATTGGCAAATGACAATGTAAGATTTGGGATGGGAATCACTCATGGGCAATTGTAAAGCAATTTATTGAGAAGGAACACTTTAGAAATGATAAACTAAATAGGCAGTATTGGTGTACCATCCATAACAGATTTACTTAGCACAATAATTAACATGCTAACATACTAACAACATGACAGGTTTACCAACTCCAGAGCAAGTAAACTGATGACAAAAGTAGCAGTATGTTGATTTCAATGAACGATGGGGATAATCATTCCCAGAACAGCCTACCGGGCCCGCAGAAATGGACAGTTAAACTGATTTCCCTAGTTGGATACAGCAGTCCCTTCTGTTTTCTTCAGAGTTTTTGAGCTACCCCATATGCTAGACCAAAGTCAGCATGGATGACTTTGAAAAGTTCTCCTCAGGAGTTCACCAAGGTATTTGACATGAGCTAGCATTGGGCCACCTGAAAAAACCCTTTACTGTCTGAAGTGATTTTTCCCTCTCAAGAACCTATTTATATACCCTATTTCTAGCGTTTTATGCCAATTACTTATTCAATTGTCCATTAACAAGGGACGGATATCCGAGGAACTCCCTCCTATTTTTGTTATAAGTCACATAACACCACGTTATAGTCCAACAGGCTTATTTGAAATCACAAGCTTTTGAAGCATAGCCCCTGTTGGACAATAACCTGGTGTCGTGTGACTTCTGACCTTGTCCACCCCAGTCCAACACTGGCACCTCCACATCATGCCTATTTTTGTTGGAAGACCATAAAGTCATCACATGGCTTATTGCTTGTGAGGGCATCCTGGTTAACTTTTACTCAGACAGTTGGTTTACATATAGATCATGAAAGCTAACTGTCCCTTCCCCCTTACTGGGTTTAGGAAAGTCTTGTTTCACAGCTTGTGTTAGAGACAGGTTGTTTGCAAAGATAACAGCATACAATATTCTGTGATTGTCAACCCAGGAAGTTTTCATCACAAGAGAGAAATAGAGCTATTCCTAACAATATTCAATAAGTTTCTTAAGGTTTTATAAAGTTTATGCATCAATTTCTTGTATGGCTTCCCACCTTAGAAAAAAAGTAGAGATAGT